CATCTCCCTATTCTTCCTGTTTCTAAGCTGGTTTGGGATACGTCCAATGTCTGGGATCAGCTCTTACCAGAATAGGGGACAACTGTCTTTGAGGTAAGGAGCAAGACACCATACGGGGACCTTGAAAACAGAGTTGCCTGTCAGGAGCAGCTGCCTTGCAGAACATATTTTTTGGCTTTGAGGGTGGCCTGCTTAGCCAACCCTGGCTATTTCAGCATGCTGCAGAGGCTGCCCTGGTATTAATTCACCTCAAAGAACAGGTTGAAGTCATTAAAATATTTTGCAGGTGGTTTGTTGAATTCATGGTGCAGCTGGATCCAGCCTAAAGGGGGAGGGTTGAGCCTAAAGGGGGGGTTGAGGGTAAGAAAAAGAGGAGGAGAGGCAAGTTCTGATGAAACACAAATTAACATAACTCATAGAAGGGAAAGAAAATCTGGTTCCAATCTCTACAACAAAGCCAAGCAACACATCAAGCTAGAAAGGAGAAATGTCAGCCAGGCAGCGCTGGGGATTTTATTGCTTTAGCACAAGTGCTTCTCTGCAGTCCCAGGAGTGCCCAGGTGCTACCGCAGCAGCTGGACCCCCTGAGCACTGCTCTGGGCATGCAGGGGCATGGGGAGCTTCACAACAAGGCCCCTGCTCCCACAGGAGTACAGGCTCAAGCTTTGTTTTAGTGCCCTGGCACAAATCACGGTTGTTTAGATTTTGCGTGTTGGCCTCAGTCTCTCTTCTGCAAAGAAACTCTCCACGTACCACATAATTTCTTGCCCTTAGAGCCGGATTCACCTTTTTTCAGGGGGTACTGGGCAGGGCAGTCAGTGGGACACTCACAAGGAAGATCCCAGACCTGGCATCTCCATAAGCTGCTGGTGGACAGATCACTCACAGCCCCCTTTGGCATCCCCTGAATTCATCAGTGTGTCCCGATGTCCATGGGCATCCAAGTCCTTGGTCCTTCCTTGGGAAGAAGAAGGCATTTTAGCGTAAGCACCATCATATTGAAGAGCTGTACTGGGTCTGAGTGGGATGGAGGTAACGTTCTCCGTGGCAGCCCGTAGGGTGTTGTGCTTTGGATCTGTGGCTAGAGCAGCGATGGTTACACACTGATGGTTTGGCTATTGGTGAGCAGTGTTGGCACAACGTCAAGGCTGTGGGTAGGCTGGGGGTGGGCAAGAGGGTGGGAGGGGACACAGCCAAGGCAGCTGACCCAAACAGACCACACCATATGATGTCAAGCTAAGCAATAAAGGTTCAGAGAAAGAAGAAGGAAGGGGAGATGTTTGTGGTTAGGACATTTGTCAGCCCAAACAACCATCATGCACGCCAAGGCCCTGCTTCCCAGGAAGTGGCTGCCTATCTGCCTCATGATGGGAAGTAGAGAATGAATTCCTCTTCTGCTTTGCTTGCAAGGGCAGCTTTTGCTTTCCCTATTAAGCTGTTGACCCACGACTTCTCACTTTCCTTCTATTTTCTCCCCAACCTTTGGGAGAGGGGACTGAGTGAGCAGCTGATGGTCAGGGTCAAGCCACAACAAGAGCTGAGTGGTATGTCAAAATTCAACAACCTTATTCATTCCAAAAAGAGAAAAAGACAGAAAAATCAGATAAAATAGGAAAAATGAAAAAAGCAAGCTTGTTTAGAAACAAACCTGCCACTGCAGAAACAATTGTACAGCTCTGGCTGCTGGTGGCTTTGCGGTGTGCATCTTTCAGCTGCATCCCAGGTCAAGCATAGCTACTTGTTTCTGTGGGAGAGCAGTGTGGTCTGTGGGCAGGGTTTCATCTGGGATTTTTGTAGCCCATTTGCAGAAACTTGAGGGCAGGTGTTGGGATAAGGGTCAGACTGTCATCTTTTCTGGCTACCACTCTCACTTCAGCCTCGAGGTGATGGCAGAAATGGTGGATGGGCGTTGCTGTCCTGGCTTACCCGACATGGGGTCTATTTGTGCCGTTACCTCTTCTCTTCTCCCTCCTTGGAGGGACACCAAAGTCCCCTGAATTCTGCTTATTTATGCCTAAGACAGTCTGCAATCAAATAGATTAGTTTGGAAAAATTACCATAAAGTAAACTGAGAAACACCTTTGAGCTAGGCTATTTTCTGTCTTGGAAAAAGAAAAACTTTAAAAAAATCACAAATTCAGTTCTTTCAGGGTAAATGCTTGTCCTGAAGAGGCTAACATCTCTCCAAGCTCCCTGGCAGTATCACTGCTGGAAAGGGCTGTGTTTAGCTAATGCCAGGTTGGAGTTTGGCGTTACGTCTCTTCATTCTGTCATGAGCTTTTGGTGGTGGCAAATGCCTGCAGCTGACAGCAGCAGTGAAATGAGATGAGAAGGGTAGTGGGGATGGCCAGGGACCAGATGCTTCCCTTTCCCTCACTCAGTAGTTACCCACAGGTCCGTGACTTTGAGGTGGCTGCGGTCTGTTTATGAATTTTGGTTCAGATGGGGTGCACCTTTGCATAAGAAGGACCTTCTGCCTAGCACGAACCACCAACGTCAGAGCATGGGAAGGGTTAGGATGAGCCGGAGGACTTCAGGATCTTCCCTGAGATGTTGACAGAGCATTTCAGGGGAGGTAGGAGGAGCAGCAGGAAGGAAAGGGACCAGGGCATCCTAGCAGAGAGCCTGGAAGGTGAGGCCGATGGCCCAGCAGACATGTCTCATATTGTTCTGGAAACTGCGTGTTCTATTAACAATCCCAGTGTTTCAGCAAACCCTCAGCCTAGGGAGACTGCACTGAATCAGCAGTTTCTTTTCTTTTTTTCTTTCTCGATTTAGTAACCCCGATTGCACAATCAGAGTCAATCTACTGCTGCAGTCGGTGATGGTGCAGCAAGAAAAGAAAGGCAGCAGATAGTGAGGGCAGCGGCTGCGAGTGCACCCAAAGGCTGAGTGAGCGTGTCACTACATGATCGCTGATGTCCGTGGTGTGACTGAGACTCTCGGCGCCATGTGCGTGGGAAAATCTGCCACCGGCTTGCAGAGGCAGATATCCACATGGCCAGGACGCTCCCGGCCAGCCAGATGCTCACCTGACTGACGGGAATGTGGCAGCACGCAGAGCTGCATGGGGCTGCATCAACTAGAAATAAAGGGAGAATAAAGCTTGACCAGCTGGGTGGGTAGCCACAGCTGGTGGACAAAGTTGGGTGGGATCATGACTTTGCTGCTGACCTTCCCAAAGCAGCTAAGTGGAGAATTGGACTATGAACCCTGAAGCAGTGCAGATAAGGACTGTCAAAATTGAGGGTCTCTACCCCTGCTTTTGGACCCATGCCACCTGGGCCTTTGAGAATGGCATGACTATGAGCAGTGGGAAAACATATCCCTGAACTTATTTCTCAGGGAAGGAAGGCACAAAGATCTCATTGCAGCTTATGCCTTTAGAAAATTACAGCTGCCAGCTTCTTTTTAATACTTTAGAAGTAAAATGGATTTGCCTAGAAGTGTTGTTAAAAGCCTCTTTGCTGTAAATCTGCTCTCCGTGGGCACCTGAATCACACCGATCCCTATGAACATCCACTTGGCAACACAAGTGCAGTCATGCCCAAATCATCACCTGGCCCAGCAAGAGTAGATGGCTTCAGGCTCTCTCAGGCTGGTCAGCTGAACCACCCAAACCGTTAGAAATGGGCTGGATATGAGCCCTTACCCCAGTGGGGAGTCAATGCCATGAAGGGAGAGGATGCACAGGTAGTTACTATGGCTCGGATGATCAGTGGCAACCTCTTGAGACACCCTAATTCAAAGTGGTATCTGAACCCTTCACAACGAAGCAAATTATTCCAATTCCTACTCAGTGTGTAGCAGAATATGTGATAATGTAGGACTCCTCTTTCTCCCTGCTGGCGCCAAACCAAGCCACAGCTGCACAAGCACATTTGAAAGGAGAACGCAGAAGTGGATTTAAAAATCCCCGTGTATTTTTGGTTTAAGCCTTTAAGAGATCTATAAGTGCAGAACAGCGAGCTTCGTTCTCCACCGTGCCGTCAGAGTGTGGATTTCCAGCTCTTGCCTTCTTCCATGGCCACGCAAAGCAACGAGGACCCAGCAGCCCCGCAGGTGGACACAGACCTGCAGCCCAGGAGAAGACCGTGGGGTGGGGACGGCCCCGCACGACGGAGAGGTCAGCACGTGGCGGCAGCTTTGTGGGTGCGGAGGGCCCTGTCCGGTACCTACCAACGGCTCTCAGCAGTGGGCTTGGGTGAGTCACTTCGCTCTGCACAATCAAAATCCACCCCAGCACAAATGGAGACGTCGAAATGCCGAATGCCACAGCGAGGTCTGCAGGGGTGGGTTTAGCAGAGTATGAACAAAGAAGAGGTGAGGTGGTAGGAATTGTGTCAGTGGGTGTGGAAAATGGGTCAGAGGGAAAGCAGGGGCTGGAGAGAGTCTCGGCGAGGAGGCTGCAAGTGTCTCTTCTCCATTACATCCCAAACTTATTTGGGCTTCATCATCCCCTACCCAACCATCATTCGCTTGTCTTTACAACTCCTCCCGATTCCTTCCTTGCACTTCAGTCATGCACCATCACTAAGTCAGCATCAGTGCAAGTGAATGTGTTTTTCACTACCATCCAGTGTTTCACCTCCCTGTCCCAGGGCATGGATCTCCAAGATTACATTGAACCTGGGATCCTCTTGGCTAGATGAAGAGGTTTATTGGTGTTAGGAGCAAAATACCTTCCTCGTGCCCAACCCTGCTGAAGTGCAGAGATGTTGAATAACTCAGGGTTGAATCTCTTGCAGGATCCTGCCTGAGGGTCCGTGGACACAGTATCCCCAAATGAGCACGCAAGAGCAGCTGAACTTCTCAGCTGTGGGATTTTTTGAGGAACTGTTCAAATTACCACATCAGAGTTCTCACAAGTCTATAAAAACTGAGCAGATAGGAAAAGCATATCAGAAAGCATATCAAATCAGGAGGCAGATAGGAAGTCCCTTCAGTTCTTTATTGTCCATAATCTGACAAGGCTTTAGGTTAGCTGCAAGAAATTTGTCATGAAAATTGAAGACAGATACGGAGACGATATGAACACTTGCAGTATTTCAGACAAGATTGGGTTTGCCTCAGCTGCTACTACAACCTTTCAGATAAGCGGTATGGTTTTTTGTTATTAAATGGATTGATACGGATTTTATCTGGCCTATGAAGAAAGCAGTGCATAAAAATGAAATATGGTGTTTATGCTGCATATTAAAGGCTTTTTACAGTGATTTTGCAACTAAATTAACTGACCATTTAAAAAGAGAGGTATGTGAAAGTGTCCTTTCTAGCCCAAAGCTGATGCTGAGCGTCAGGAAAAAAATAGTTCTTTTCTTGTTTTAGAAAATTCCTAATTTCACTTTGTAAAACTTTCACGTCTTAATAGTTAAGATACTGAAATCACCAGATCCAATAAAAAAATTAAGTTTATGAATTTTTAGCTGAATATAAATACTTCATTGCTGACTAAACCATTCTATTGTAAAATTAATTAAATCATTTTACTCTTTTAAAGCTAAGACTTTAAACTCCTGATTACATTATTTTGAAAAAAAAAAAAAAACTTAATTAAGAGTAACTTCCTGAATGTCTGAAGTAGTTATTAATGCTTCTGAAATACATTTTTCTCCCTAAAGGCCAAAATCTGACAAAGCAGTTTATTTCTTCTACACTTGCTGGTGACAGTTTGTTTAAAATGTTACCACTTTGTTTTTCATTTGTTCTGCAGCTCAGTTTATTATAGATTTTCCATTTGTTTCCATGTATACATGCCTCACTGTTGGAATCGCATGTTTTCGGTGCTCTGGATGCAGAGGGCATGTGCTTTGAGCAACCCTCTTTGAATAGCAGTCTGGGACAACTAAAAGCAATGGAAACTGAGAGTTTATTGATGCAGAAAGAGGACAACTATGATATTTATACTATTATAGGCTGGATTAAGTCTTGATAGAAGTGAGTTGGTTGAATTGACTAAGGAAAAGATGGCCAAGTGGATTGTGGTGCAAAGCCTGGACCAGGGGAAGGCACGCTGCCTTGCCTGCGGGACACAGCAAACTCACAGGGGAACCTTGCTGCTCCTGGTTGTGGGAAAGCATCACTAATTTATTGCAGCCAAGCCTGAAATGGCTGGAAGCAACCAGAATTTGTAGCAGGAGAGATGTGAGAGGGTGTCTACCCCACTTCTGTTGGTTTTTAGAGCCTCGAAGACAAAGAAAGCCATCCACATGCTGCAGTAGGGCAGCCCTTGTCATGTACCTGCTGCTGCTGACGGCTGGCCAGGCGCTGCTGGCATACAAAGGTAACACTGCGACCCTTCTGCAAGCTTGGCATCAAGAGACTGGGGGGTCTCAGGGGGCATGGGTGAGTGGGGATGGGCACACAGATAGGAAACCTCTGCACGCCACAAGTCAAACAGGCGCTGCAGGAAACCGTTCCCCCACCCCCTATATATGCTTTGCATTTCCAAAAGCACTCCCAGCTGCACTCCTGGCTGTAGCAAGGACCAGCGCATGAAAACCACCTCCCCAGGTCAAACTGGTGGTGTTTAACCCCGGGTGTCCTCCACCGGTGCCGAGAAGCTGCTTTGCCAAACAGGCGCTTGCCAGCCGGATCGGGCAGGGAATATTCACTGCATGGGCCTTTTGTTTCCTCAGTGTTTAAGATGCAGAGAGAGATACTGAAATGTCAAGAACAAAATACCTCCTACACAGAAGAGGTTCTGGAAAGCTCCTTTGCCGACAAACTGGTTTTGGGGAGAAACCCTATAAAAAAGCACATGGAAGATGAAGAAAACTGGAGGAGAAGCTTAGAAAAGGAAATCACCATAATGAAAAGCAGCAGTGCAAACCTGATGAAGATGATGAACAACATCACCCTGGTTGCAGGTATGGCCCCATTTCTCCATGCTGGCTGTACAGTGTGGAGAATTGGTTCTTCCACACCTCTGGCAAAGCTGGACCAAAAACCTAGTTGAGATGAACAAATAACTGGGGCAAGATTTGGTCTTCCTCTCTGTTAGTTAGTGATGTCCCAGCATCCAGGGTTGGATGCTGGCTTTGGACACCCTGGCTGGGGAGCTAGATACACCTGGAGAAGCTGGAGCACAGCCCCACGCAACCCTCCCAGATCCCACTACAGCTGCACACATGGCTCCGGGCTGCTCTTCCCTCCCGTAACATGTAGACTTGGGCTCTAGGTGCCCTCTGAAAGGGTGGTGTCTTCAGCCAGACCTCAAGCCTATCAATCAACCCCATACTGGTACGTCCCCCACTGAGTGCAGACTACTGAAAAATATCCATTACATATTTCAGGACCTCCTGGACGCAAAGGGGATCCTGGCACACCAGGTATGTTGGTAAATGAGCTGTAAGCATTCTCTTCTTTCTCTTTTTTCCCCTAAGAGACCAGTAGTGAGGATCTGGGATTTCAGTCTCTAGACCCAGATCCTACCTAATGTGCAGACACCCAGTGCCCTGGCCATAAGGAGACCTGATGCCCCTTTTGACTGATCCCCTGGGAGCCTACCAGCTTGCCCAAGTGCTCCTGCAGAGATCAGTGACCACCATGGAGGACCATTTTGGCTCTGCCTGCTCACTGCTAGCCCACCAGAAAAGCTCAGGGGTGATGGAGGAACTGTACCTGGTCATTATCGGCAATAACCATTCTAAATCCCCATGTGAGACAGGAGAGGACCAGTGAGAGGGTTTATGTGCATCCCACAACCAGTGGATCAGGGCTAGGTCTGCCCCAGACATAGGCAGGACCTGCTGCCTAGCTCACTCCAGGACAACTCAAGGAGACCTCCCCTGTCTCTGTTCTATAGAGCCCCAGCTGAATGGTGTGTGTAACAAATAGTGACAGATTTGGGACCTTGCCCAGCTTGTCCCTGGGAAAACAACCACACAGAATCAGAAATGAGCTGGGTGAAAGTGCTCCCCTCCACAGCCACGCACAGGCTGCTAGACTGGGTACCTGGGGGTTTCAGGTGGAACTACACGTGCTGCAGGAGAGAAATGTCTCCAGACTGTGAGGATGCGGCAAGTCCTGGTCTCATGTTGGCTCCACTTTGAGCGGGCCTTGGACCTGGCAATGTCCCGAGAAACCATAGTTTCTATGATCCTATGATGGTGATCTAAACTGCAACCCTTGTTAGGTCAGGTCTGTATCTCATCCATCCCTAGTTCTTGGCTACACTGATGAGCTTTTCTGAAGAAAAAAAAAATTAATACATTTTAAAAAGTCATGTTTTCATATCTTCCTGGCTGCACTTACAACACTGAAAGAGCACCTCCCGCCAAGCACCTTTATTATACATTAGAGCCCCATCATTCAGTGCATTTTCAGGAAAGATCTCCTCAAAGGTCCCCACGAGCTGGGCTTGGCCGAAGGACAGCTGGCCTCTGCCCAGCCATGCACTCAGCTGAGCTCCACAGGTTTTGCTTGAGTGATTGTGCTGGTCCCTGCCAGCTGAAGATTGGCCTCAGTGGTGACCAAAAGCGCATGCACAAAGGACGGTTAAAAAATTCATATCTTCTTCTTAGCCATTACTGCAAATAGATGATGTGTGTCAGCTGATATATGTATTTTACATCTCAGGGCTACGGGGACCACCAGGGACAAAGGGAGACCAAGGTAAGGCTTTTCTGACACCTGAATTATTTCTGTGGATGAACATAAAGTGGTTTTATGGTTGATTTTATGGGCAATCTTGTCCTCCGTCAAGGTGTAAGTCAGTAGAAATGTCATTGGAGTAGAAGGAAATAAGCCTATGTAAAATTAATGGGAACAAAAGCAAAAATTATCTGGAAAAATTCTTATTTTAAAAGTAAATGTGCACTGGTCATGGTGGTCCAATTCCCCACTGTCCCCAGCACCACTCTCAAGTTCACAGAGAGCAGAGCTTGGCTCATGCCCTCAGCTGAGCTGTGTGACCTGCCACTGACGTTCCCAAGACACGGCAGCCGATGAAGCCTCAGAGAAGTGGTGTTGTCCTTCCAGGCTTCCAGGGACTGCAGGGAGCAAAAGGGAGCAAAGGAGACCCTGGTTCTGCTGGCCCAAGGGGTGAACAAGGAATGAGAGGAGAAAAAGGAGAGGTGGGCCTTGCAGGTAAGGCATCTTCACTGTCTCAACACTTTTAAGGTTCTCCCAGGTATTCCTGTTTAAACTCATTCTACTTAAAACACCAGAAGTCTTCATAGGTCAGATATTTCATAAAAATCCAGGCAGTCCTGAGCATGGCTTGGCAGTCAGAGAGGGAGCTGGATGAACAGGACACTCGATCTGATCTGAAGGGATTTCATTCCATGTCACGCTCCAGCAAAGCTCCCAAAGGAGGGCTGGGGGAAAGGGGACGTGCAAAATGTTGATTCTGCACCATGGAAGTCTCTTTATAGAGCGACCTTTGTCTCATGAAAGCCGCAGGTATTCAATTCAATTATCATCTTATCCCAGATTAAAGTAATGATGTTTGCAGTAGGATTTTCATGGTATAAAATAATACAATATAATTTATGTGCACAAGCATGTGGATGTTAGTCCCCACTTCAGTAAAACTAATGTCTGAGAACTTTGTGTCCTATGTAAGCCTGACTTTTGTACACTTTAAATAGAAGAGTTATGCACTGTGTTTCTGCCGTGTAATGTGCATTAGTGGGCATCTCCTGGATAGCTGTTATTCGGATATTCCAGAGAGGAAAGGCTGAAAGCAGGATAGCAGAAGAAAGGTGCGTGTGGTGCAGAGCAGGTTGGACAGGTTCATTATAGCTTCCTCAGGTCTTCCATCAGATCCTACATGCTCCAGTGTGCTCATTAGCATAAATTGCTCTAGAAAAGAAAAATGAAAGTAGGAGGAATACCGAAAGCAGAGGATTTTGGATAATTCTGGAGCAGAAAGACGAAGGAGATGTCACCCTTTAAATGAGGCATTTTGAAGTTCTTTCAGAGCATTACTATCACTTGTTGAGAGAGGAGAAGGCTAAGGGGAGATGCAGCAGTTCCATGGAAGCACCACAATGGAATACGCTGTCTTCCACCTCCACTGGGGCTAGGAGAAAGGAATGGTTCAGACTGCAGTAAGGGATATTTAGCTAGAGAAGAAAACACTCTAGTGATAGGGATAGTTCGGGGAATAGACTGGGAAGGTGTCATGGCACCATTGCAAGTCTTTAGCAGCATGTCAGCAAACATCTGGCCAGACCATGAGGTGCCATCCAGCCCTTCCTACAGCTTTACAGGAATGTTGCTAATGGAAAATGTGGCTGTGAGTCAAGCTCTGCTACTGGGGAAGCTAGATGAAGGTGCTCCACTGGCTGCAGAAACAACACATCTCCTTTTTTTTTTTTTTTTTTTTAACTTACACACATGCCCTGCTGTTTGGCAGGTCTCCAAGGACAGAAAGGCGAAACGGGCAAGAAGGGAGACCCCGGGCCCCATGGACCCATGGGTCCTCAGGGACATCAGGGAATCCCAGGAGTGCCAGGTGTCAAAGGTAAGTGCAGAGGACACAGCACAACCCCCTGTCATCACATGTGCTGTGGTGGAGCGCTGCCCTAGCTGAAGCGTTTGGCTAAGCCTCGTTAGCACTGATGCTAGGATGTTGTTGCAGGTAGCACAGGGGAGCCTGGACATCCTGGGCAGAAAGGAGAGGCAGGTAAGCAGTACAGAAGGTGCAGTTTCTTCTAGAGATGTGAGACCAATCTCTTTCAGATGGTGCTTCATGACAAGGAAAACTGCAGTCAAGCTACATCCCAAAAGGGGAGAGAAAAGATGATGACTAGATGAAGAACCCAATGTTGTACAAATCGCCCCCACAGCCTCAGCTGTCTCATCCAGACCCACTCACTGTGCAGGAGAATGAGAGGGAAACTGTGGAGGGCCATGTCCTCCCTCCTGACATGTATGCACACACAAGGGCAGAAATTGGCTGATCTTTTAGAAAAGCACTTGTGCCTCTCCAGGCTGACAGTCTGCAAGGGCTGGGACCAGCCCTCACTGCTCTGCTGAGACTAGCACTGCCGGGGAACGACTGCAATTTGGAGAGACCCAGCACTTGTTTTGCCTTCATAGGGTCAACTCAATCCACACAGTGCAGGGGCCAGTGACTGAGCCATCTTTCTTTTTTCTCCTTCGTACGTCATGTTGCATTTCACATGTGCTGCTTTTGCTCAACCTCAAGGCGTAAACGGAGAACGTGGACCTGTGGGAATTCCTGGCCTTGAAGGCAGACCTGGTCAGAAAGGGGAGAAAGGAGACCATGGGCCCAGTGGTAGTGCAGGTACAATGCTACTCAAACCTGTAACTCACTGACCTCCTACTCCGGCTTCGCTTTGTGTGATGGCTTCATCTTCACTGCTTTGTTTGTAATTTCAGGAATACCAGGCACTGCGGGACTCAAAGGTGAAAAGGGAGACAGAGGAGTAACAGGTAAAGGAGAATAAAATAGGCACGGGAAAGGGATCTGCAACAGCAAGTAGGCAATTCTTAAGTCTTGTTCTTGGAGCCACAACACATCCCAGGATGCCATGGTGGGCCTGGGCCTCTGCCAGGCTGCTGGGAGAGCAGCTACTCACAGGAGTGTCTGTTTCAACCATCAGTAGTGTGTGTGAGGAGGTGGTGTTGCCTGAACTTTTGTAGAAATAGAAAATGCACAAACAAAGCAGCAGTATAAGATGAACCAAACAGTAACCTCCGTATCCTGGAGCTAAAGACAATAAATCTGATGGGGAAGGGTATTCATTAAGAAGCATGTGTCCTAGCCTCCTCTGTAGCATTGCAGGAAGAAGTATCTTCACACACCAACTTGTAACGCATAACCTAGGCCTTTTGTTTGAACTGCTGTCTGAAGAAGGCCACCTCTCTGTCCCTGGCACCCAAACGATAGGGTGACATTATGCAGTACAAGCCTATTCCACTGTATTTCTCTTGAATCAACCTCTTTAACCCTGAATTTATACACTGCAACCTCTCATCTCCATCAGGAGGTGACAGAGGTCCAAGTATTGCATCCTTCTGCATTCACTGATACCTGGATGATAGGGATGGGAGTCACCTGCCCAACATTCATAGAAGCACAGAATGGTTTGGGTTGGAGGGAACCTTAAAGATCACCCAGTCCCAACCCCCCTGCCATGGGCAGGGACACCTTCCACTAGACCAGGTTGCTCAAAGCCTCATCCAGCCTGGCCTTGAACACTTCCTGGGATGTCTTATTTATATATATATAATGTAACATCCAGGGATGTCTCATTATGTTCTTGCATACATCTGATGCACCTAAATTTATGTCTAGGCACTCTGTGGGGGATCAGTGAAGACCCACTTGGACAGAGAATCTCTATCCCATTAGCGGAGTTTAGGATACGAAATAAATGACCAGAACTCGATCTGCCTCAGATGACAACTCTCAACTGCCTCTATTTTCTGTATTGAAGAGGTCTGCACCTAATATAATGGAAATAAAACACCCACTTCAGAAATGGATGCCTGTAGTGCAGACAGCTAAACTGGACCAGTTGAAATCTATCAGACATACTAGTTTGCATGAACCTTTATGAATGTATAACTATCTGTCTTATATATTTTGTTTGTTTGTTTGTTTTGATGCTCTTAGGTCTTCAAGGGCAGAAGGGAACAAAGGGAGACCAGGGCGTGTCAGGTAAACCCTTGTTTGACAGCATCACTTTGATGATGTTGATGAAGCAAAGCGCTTTAAATGCCGTGTTCCACTTCTCTGCATCAAGTTGAAATGCTCATCACATTCTTTCCTTGGGAAGGGACAAAGGCAATGACCTTATTGCTTTCCATCCAGGTAACCCAGGCCTAACTGGTCAAAAAGGAAGCAAGGGTGATTACGGCAGTCGTGGTCCAAAAGGTGAACCAGGAGTGAAAGGAGCCAAGGGAGACCGTGGATTCCTTGGTAAGGCTGTTTGCCATGGGTCTGTGGAGCTGAATGGTGCATTTGGGTTTGGGACTGTACACCACACATGGGCACAAGCTGTTCTGGGGCATGTTTACAGAGCTCATTTAGAGGAACTCAACAGACAGATCAGCATTCCCAGAAGATGAATGTGCAGAGCATCACATTTACGCCTTCGGAAGTGTGCTAAAAGATATGCGAGTAAAAAGATGCTTTAGATATTTTCAGATCCCTCATCCCATTGAAAACTGGAACAAACCTACGTTCCTCATTGCTTTGTACAGAGTCATCTCACAGCATACCACACTGCTGGGATAAATCCCACATAAACACGGCAGTTGGAAACACAGTATCGGAAACCCCAGGGCTGTTTAACTATGTGTCTCTAATTGTAGGTCCCAAAAATAGACAGTTCAAAATGGCCAACACTACAGCTACTCCCCATCCTTAGCTCCCTCCCTTCCAACCACAGAATGCTTCCAAAAAACTAAGACCTGCAGTAAAAACCCTGCAAAAACGTAGTTACAATAGGCCATTGGGAAGCAACCAGTACTGCAGATGCTTTTCATTTTAATTGTTCACACAGAATAGTCCAAGAGACCTCAGAAATAACATAAACTAGACCCTGTGTAGGACTCCTCCATGCAATGCTCTTCTGGAACTTTGCCTCTGGAAGAGGGGAAAAGCATAACTGGGATGGCCACAGGTTAGGGACTGCCCTCTGGGTGGGTGTCATCTCCTGGTCCCAGGAGGAGACTGGAATGTGTGCTTTGTGCAGGTAGTTTTGGGGGGATGAGCTCATTGGGTTTTTAGGCCAGGATGCTACACAGAAATGTGGAGGACTCTTGGGAGTGGCTTTCTGTTGTCCCATGGCAGCACCTGGAGAGCAAACCTCATGATGTAGATCTTCCTGCAAGCGTGTTAGGAGTTACCATGCCTGCTTCTGGAGAGCCCAAAGGCTGCCAGAGATGTTATTTTACAGGTGGTAGTGAGAGTAAGATACATTTTCCAGGAGTGAGTGGGTGGGATTTCACAAGTGGCCCTTTTCTTGGGTCACACGCTAGGAAGACTTTGCTGTATGTTATCATACTTTTTTTACCACGATTCTTTTACATAACCTCAATCATTTCAGGAGGCCCACTCCACAACAGGACAGACCCCTTATATCTCTGACTGACTCAATTATTCAGAAAAAGTTAATAACTATATTTTCCCCCAAACAGCTGTCAAATATTTGCTTTTTTTTTTAATTTGGAACAGGTTCCCCAGGAATAAAAGGGAGCAAAGGTGAAAAAGGCGAAGGTACTGGACTTTTGTTTCTTCTTCTCTCACTTGCCTCCTGGCATGAAAGCTATCTGAGATCAGGACCAACATTTTCCCCTGCACACACTGGTTAACCTGCAGCACAGCCGCCAGAACCGAGGGGTCAGTGCTCTGAGCTGCAGTCTGGTTTCTCCAGACCCAGGAGAGGGACTCAAATTACTTGGATTTGAGCTACCATTAACTTCTGGTCCCACCCTGGCTACAGCTGTGCAGATGGGAACATTAGTCCAATTTGGGAGGTCACTGCTTCCATCTTTCAATGTTCTTTTTTCCTCACGCCCGTACGACTAGTAAAGTTATTTTCTTCTCCCCTGAACTGTCAGGCAACTTCAATAATTTAATAAGAATTGCGGAAGGGGGCAGGAGGGGCCGCGTGGAAATCTTTTACCAAAGGACCTGGGGAACAATCTGTGACGATGGCTGGGACATCCAAGACGCCACTGTGGTCTGCCGAATGCTGGGATACAGTCGTGCGATCGCCAGCTTCACAGCCACAGCAGGTGAGTCCACAACAGTGTTTGACTTCCCCGGGCCAGTCCTCGAGACTGTGGCTGCGTTCCTTGCCTGGCACGGGATGTTGCACACGCTCAGAAAGCACTGCAGCAAGGTCCCTTACATGAGAAGCAGGAGAGCAAAGAGGATCACCTCAAAGGGGCAGCTCTTTCCCCTTGAGATGAGGGAGTTGCACGTCAAGTGCTGCTTGAACTGTGCCCAAAGGCTTAATTTCCACCAAGCCAACCATGCAACCCAACACACGCCTGCTATTCACAGGGGTCTCTTTAGGAAAAAAATGCATATTCCTCTTCCTTTTGTCTAACTTTGTTTGTTTCTTTCTTTAATTTGTCTTCCAAAGGCACTGGACAAATTTGGCTTGATGACGTGAATTGCACCGGAAGAGAAAATTCAATTTTAGACTGTCCAAAGCCCAACTGGGGGGTGAACAACTGCTCCCACAGTGAGGACGCTGGTGTGGAGTGCATTTGATGGGACACAGAGGCTGCCACGGCAGGCGCTCTCGACCCTTGTCTCTATGGGGCTCTTGTTCATAACGTAAACCCAGTGTCACCAGGCTGTGCTTGTAGTCTCTTTACCAGGTAATAAAAATATTGTCAGAGAAATTTGAATTTTCCATAGATTGATAATGTTTGCAAGACCCACAGGTAACCTGAAATGTCCCAGCTGTCACAAAACAACAGGAGCTCAGGCACGTGAGTCAGTTCACAGCTTTTCCAGCTGCCTGACATGAGCTCATCTGCAGTAGCTCGCAAGTGTATGACCTCTAAGTCCACAGGGGAGGAGAGCTCGTCTCCTTTAGCCTAGTGCAGTAAGAGGGAGCAGGATAAGCATGCAGAATTGAGCAGTTACTGCAGCTGAGCTGGCCTAGTCCGCCTCTGGCACAGCTGTGAGTCTGAGACTAAGCCCCCTATAAAGTGCAGACACCCAAGAGAGGAGATGCTCAGAAATCATCAGATGATCTCTCTGGCATACAAATACAAATGTTCTCCAGAAATTATGCTGATCACAGGTTAAAATGCAAAAATAAGTGCCTGGGATCTAGGTGCTGCACTATTCTGGTGTTGCACAGACCTTGTTTTTGACCTCAGCCAAGTGCTCTGTCTTCTCTGTCAGTGCTTCCTAGCCTGTCCCCAGAAGCAATGCCCCTTACCTTACGCCTTACCTGGTGTATAAAGATAAGAATTTTCATACCTTTGGAAAAGAGATACTCCAGTAAAGCAAAGGGACAATGAATAAAGGCAATAATGGGGAAGTATTAGCTAATTAAACTTCCAGAGTGAAAATACGGACCCTAAACCAAAGGCTTCTACCTTAATTGAAAGTCTTACATGTGTCTGAGATAATAACTGAAAAGCTTTTCCTCCTTAAGGCCTAGGTCTTCCCCCTTTACACCAGCACTGGACACTCAGTAAGCGACAAGCAGCTTGTGGACGTGTAGCTGGGCACATTGCACCAACCTGTTTGTGGACATCCTGTTTGAAATGTCAGAAATTCCTGTAAGCAACTCCACACTCTGACTTAATGTTAGTCATAATTGCCTTTATCTACACAGATTTGTAACTTGTTTTCAGTGTTTAGAAATCCAGATATAAATGTAAAAGCCGAGCAGTGCTGCCAAGGGCAGCAGGTGATAGGGCATCCAGGGCCAATGTGAGTGTGAAGACCCAGAACTGCATAGGGTGCGACAGTGCAGTGTGCAACAAAGCTCATCACCATTTTGAACCAGAGGAAATGTTTGTTACGGGGTCTCAGGCCTCAGGAAAGAAATCTGGAAAATCCCAAGAGTTCTCCAGTATGCACTCTGATGCCTTTGACAGCAGGAGAATGAAGAGAGATGCTTATCATTCCTGGCTCTGGTTTAGAGGAGGTGTCTGCCATAAACCGTGGGTGAAACCTGATGAATGACAAATATTTCAGAGCTGGTGAAAACAGATAGTGGCTCATCTGCACGAGAAGAGACAAAAGCTTTCTCTTCTGGTAAGGAGCCCCACCAGCACTAACAGCATGCTGAGTACAGACACTTGGGCATACACAGCTTTCTGTAGGGCTCCCACAGACTGTGCTGAGCCTGCGTGGGTTTCTTCCATCTTTTTTTGTGTGTGGCAGTATGTAAATAAAGCATTTCCACTGTAGAAAATACAGAATACAAGCTGTATTCCTGTCTTGATACATCAGCATGTAGTGCTTGCACTCCCATTTTCTCACTTTTCTTGCCGACAAGGTACATTCCTCACCATATTTCATGCTAAATGCTGAGATGTTTGATTGTTTTCATCAGGCAAATCTGCCACTGAAGGGAAAGCCGCTGTGTCCCCAGTGATGACCCCTCGGCTGGACAAATTCCCATAAATCTCCTTTTCGGAGAATGGACATCCAGAAAAGAGCAGTTGTGCAGGGATTAAGGTCAAGACACCAGAGGTTATACCTGCATGCCCAGAACACCATAGACCAGCCTGTCTGCTCCTAAGCACAGCAAGTTGAACCCAACCTGCTGTCCAACAGCACGCCCAGAAACTGCAGCATGACATGCTTAACCTACCCCCCGACACTTCTTCGCCTTGCAGCGAGGATGTAGTCTGCACAATCTGGAGTCAGAGGTAGTTCCTAGCAGCCCTGGAGAGTCCATGCCAACACTGTTCAAGTGCACAGAATGACATTTATCTTGCAAAGGCTAAAGGAGAAGGGGAAGGGCTCGAGGTGGCTCAGGCAGGCCAGGGTGATGGCTGCAGGGGCTGGGAATGACACTGCTAAAAGGGAATGGACTGAAACATGCAGCTGCCTGGCAGCATTGGCATAGCCCCCTCCATTCCATGGGGATGCAGGGAGCCAGTACAAAAGTCCTCACACCAGTACAGTCATTCTGGTCTGGAAAGGAAAACAGGGGGCTCAGGACCAGAACCTGTGTTAATATTACTCTGCTGGAAAAAGCAGAGCTTGGCAGGAAAACAGACATTGCCTTCATGAAACCATTCCACGTGTCGGGTCCAGAGAGGGAAGCCCAGCCAGCTGGGCAGAGAGCTGCGGGCACAAAGCTCACACACGAGTCAGAAATAACCATTTCTAAAGCAGAGAATGTCTGAGCTGCAAGAGGAGAACTGAGCCCAGTGCGGGGTGTACCATGTGCAAGAAATAGCATCCACCGGAGGGGACCATCGTGTCCGAGTTGTGGTGCCCGTGATTTCACCCTTCGTGACGGGCTCAGTCACAATGGACCCTCGTGGAGAAGCGCTGCCCAGCTGCAAATGAACAGCAGAGGCTGCTAGGTGGCAGCTGCAAAATTCATGTCTGACCCTCTTCTGTCCAAACCAGGGTGAAGCCAGAAAGAAGTTACTGATGTTGTGAAAGCAGGAGGAAACCCCTCCCAGTTCCAGCAAGAAGGAGATGAGCTGGGGAAGGGATGGAGGCTGTGAGGTTGTTAGGTTGCAGGCTCGCTCCTCACCAGAGCCAGGACTCCAAGGGCCAGGAAAAAAAAAAGTGAAATCCAGTTTTGGCAGATTTAGAGTTTGTACTGAATTCCGCAGTGCTAATTCAAATGACAGATACCTGTGGCAGCTCCTCACCTGGTACAAACTGCCATACCCACTGCTATGCTGTATTTCCGTAGGGCTAAGAAAAGCCCTTATTTCATTCCAAAAAGCAGAAAAAATGCTGATTTCTTTCAGAACCCCTGAAAAAAGCTAGCAGGGGGACCGCCAGTCCC